TAAGTAAAAGGTCAGTAAAAAAGGGTATTACGCAGACTAGGTTATCAGGCTTATAGTGTTACAAAAGATATAGCAAGCCTAATTATAATATATAAACTTGTTAGGAGATTAAAGAGACATCTAGAGAAGATAATGATATAGAGAATAATTAATTTTCTTATGTTATAACTATATATAATAATTAGAAGGTTATAATATAAAAGAAAAGTGCGCGGGTTACTTATATATATAGGTCACTTATAAACCACATTAGTATAAGTAAAAACAAAGATATAAACTTTAATAAGACTAAGGAATACAAGCTTTGCTTCTCTAACTAATAAGAACCCCTAATATTAAAGAATCTACTTTTAACTATTATTAATAAGATATAACTAATTATAAGTAAAAGTAAAAAGATAATAAAAAAAAGGATTAATATAAAAAAGATAGAAATCTTAATCTTAAAAAAATAAAATATAAAACTTTAAATAGCTTATCTAGCTAGCTAATTATATAATATAAAGTTTGTATTCCTTTATAAAGTCTTTATTATATTTTCTTATATATGTTTTAGACTATTATTTTTTAGCTTATCTTTTACTAAAATATACTTAAAATTTAGGCCTAAATTAAATCTTTCTTTACGCTCTAATTATAGTTTACTTTATAAGCATATAGTACTAGTATTAGTTAGAATATTATTACTTTAATTTTTATATAAAATATATGCTTTTTATAAGTTCCTAGTATAAGTAAGATAATTATTCTAGACTTTTTATATATTAATATATACTGTTATCCTCTTAAACTATATAAATAGTCTTCTTAGTAATTACTATTATATATTACGCCTTATATTAGATCTATAAGATTCTTTTCTTTATATTATTTATGAAAGTCTTCTTTTATAGACTAATTATGTCTTATAGGCAACTTATAAAGTATATATATACTAGCTATATACTAGCTCCTTGCTTACTAACTAAGCTTATATTACTAATATCTTAATAAATACTTTTATATTACCTTTATAGCTTTGCTTTAATAAGTACTATATAATTACGCTTATAGCTATACTTTAATAAATATTATATAGTTATGTCTATAGCTTTGCTTTAATAAGTGCTCTAAATTTATTCTAAGTATTCTCTTATTTATAGACTACTTATATTTCTGTAAAATCTATATATATTAAACTATTTATAATACCTTAAAGAGATTTTATTATTTAATAGCTTTTTAGTCTTAATAAGATTCTGTGAAATATTAGTAACTTATTTATATTAAAGACTATAATTATATTATTTTATGAACTAGCTAATTATATAATATAAAGCTTGTATTCTCTTATAAAGTCTTTATTATATTTTTTTATATATGCTTTAGACTATTGCTCTTAGGCTTATCTTTTATTAAAATATACTTAGGATTTAGGCCTAAGCTATATCCTTCTTTATACTTTAATTATAATTTACTTTATAAGTATATAGTACTAGTATTAGCTAGAATAATATTACTTTAATTCTTATATAGAATATATGCTTTTTATAAGCTTTTAATATAAATAAATTAACTGTTCTAGACTTTTTATATACTAATATAGGTTATATAGATAGTCTTAGTAATTATTATTATATATTATATTTTATATAAGATTTATAAGGTTCTTTTCTTTGTATTATTTATAAATGCCTTCTTTATACAGATTAATTATGTCTTGTAAGCAACTTATAAAGTATATATATATTAGTTATATATTAGTTTCTTGCTTATTAATTAAGCTTATATTACTAATATTTTAATAAATGCTTTTATATTATCTTTATAACTTTGCTTTAATAAGTACTATATAGCTACATTTATAGCTACACTTTAATAAGTATTATATAGTTACGTCTATAGCTTTACTTTAATAAGTCCTTAAATTTGTTTTGAGTATTCTTTTATTTATAGACTGTTTGTGTTTTTGCAGAACCTGTGTGTACTAGATTACCTATGACATCTTAGAGAAGTTTTGTTATTTAATAGCCCTTCAGTCTTAACAAGGTTCTTTGTACATAAGACTCTGAGTCTTAACAAGGTTCTGCCAAATATTAGTAACTCGTCTATGTCAAAGGATTTCCTTTCTTTACCTGCGAGTCGCTGCCTACTTACGCGTGACGCGTGATCTCAAAAGGGGACAAGCATAGAGGTGTCCTATCTCTTGTTTAGAACGATATCACATCTACTGGTTGCAGGACTAGTTTCGGGTCTGAGTACGAGTCAGATAAACAAGAGTCGGATAGTTTTCAAAACCTAATATCCTCTGATTTAGTATGGTGCTCAGTCGCAACGTGTGCGAATACTAGCTTTATTAATATTAATATATCTTACTAGTAACATAATATATTAAGTTTATAAATAGGTTTATATATCTTAAGAGATTGCGTTCAGACTTTCCTTACTTTGTTCTATAACAAGGATGCCGACTTTTCGAGAGGGGGGAGATTGTTATACACTAAGAGTCATGACATGCTTTGACTGAGGCGCATCTGCTAAGGCGCCTCAAAGGCGCCTGCCGAGATATATGTTAGTAGTAGCTAGTTAGTCGCCTCAGAGGCTAAGAGAGAATAGACACACTCCACTCATGCACTAATTCCAGTCGGATTGTTACCCCCACACGCATCTGGCACACAGGTGCACTACACTTTTGGTGTTCTTAACGCTAAGGCTGCAGTACAACTTTACCTGAGACTCGTTTCTTGGCCAGCACTGAGTTGTGTTTGCCTGTAGGAGCCTCTTTTTCACTGCATGGTAGAGATGAAAGACACGCCCTTCTAATCCCCGAAGAAGACAAAGCCATCTAGTGAACGAATTCAGCCCCATGGCGCCCCACCAAGGCCTGCTACCTGCCTGTAGAGGAACCTTTGCCACAGAGTTCTGCCTTGTACGACCTGCTGATCCTGTTCCTGGCCACTTGCGATAGCTTGGATGTTAAGTAATGTCGCAACTATGTGGCTCTTCTGCTCACTGGTAGCTTTCTTTAGACCCCGCTTAAACGCAGCGGCATCATACTCTGATCCTAGTTCCACACGAGCCGCGACAACCCAGAGGTAGTGGCGTGCCTCCTCGGTCCACGATATCGGATTCAGAGCCCGACTTGGAATTGCAAGAAATATCACAGGCCTTAAAATATGCATCTCGGGCTCCAGGTCACGTCGGATGATGTTTAAATATGGATGATATGATCCGCGTTCGTCGGTGAGCCCGGTCTCACGTCTTTGTTTTGGCTGAGGATGATCAATATAGAGTTCTATCAGATCCGCCAAATTATCGATATCCGGCAGGGAAGATATGTCGTTGCCCCGTCTCTGTTCCGCTTGATGGTGCAATCGGCATTGCCTTTCGAGAGCAAGATGCGCCAGGGTAGGTATGTGTTTCTGGAAGAGATCCCAGGTAAACCATTTGCATTCTACGATATCTCTCTGAAGCCTCCGCCGCTGGTCCCGGGCCAGGAAACGGTAGGTGGCTGGTGCAAAATGCGACTGTCTGACGGGAAGCGGTGGCTCGTTATCAAAAAATGCGTGAAGAATGAACACCTTGTATAACTGTACGTCGGATATTTGTCTTGCTCTTGAGATCGAAGAGTTGGCGAGAGCTCTGGCCAGGCAAGGTTCAAGCGAGTGGAAAATGATCTGCTCTTGCAACTCATCAGGTAGATTGAGGAGAAAAAGAGAGTGACCCCTTTGATCGGGCCTATCAGCACCTGGTTGGGGAGCGGATTGAGCTCTACGTCCACCCATTGGCAACTCAAGGGCAGCTGGTCCTCGGAGAGGTCTGTCTTTTGATGCAGAAGGCCCCATAGCGGTACTCTCTACCAAGAATCCTTTGATCACTCAACTTGGCTTCTTCTTTACTTTAATCAAGTTCGATTCGATCAATGAAATTCTCATTAGTCTCCAGTCTCCAGACCAACATACATGAGAAAAGATGTCTTTCTTATGTTCAAAACCAAAAATACCGACGAGAGTAGTCTCCGACTCTGTTGCAACAACACGTAGTACAAGCCAACACCCTATTCCCAATGAGTATTCATGAGACACTTCACGAACAGTCACACAGCAGCTATCCTAAGGTCCAATCAGAAAGCCAGATTCGAAGAATAGGGCTGAAACATAGACTAAGTAGTACTTGAGGTGTAACCCTGACGTTTGGATGACAGTGTCATGACCACCAGCCCGCAGGAATCCCTGACTTACTATGTTATATTTAAATAGGAATACCAGGGGATTTGATACGCTTCTGAAGCGGGTGAAGCTTAAGTAATCAATAATTGATGTATTGCCGGCTGTTGCACCAGGTTTTAAAGCATTGACGAATACCTGTTGATCAAATTTGTTGCGTTTATCCTTGTAATTTGTCCGTGCGTTATTGGGTTAATTCTAGCGCAATTTCGGAGCTAATTTCGCTGCGACGCGTACAACTAATTTGTATATAACTCTACGCTCTGTACCCTGCTATGTAGAGATGAGCCGTGTGACTAATTCCTCAGTCAGGCAGCCAAAACGGCCAATCCAACTGGGTGTCAAGGCGCAAGGATAAGCCAGTAAACTCTGTCACGTGACTCGCCTGTGTAGCAAGCGCTACATGACTATCATGCCCGTAATCCTTCCAATACACTCACATCTTTACGTAAGTCATCAGCAGCTCTCTGGCATTCTTTTGCCCTCTCTTTCCCTTTTACCCTTGAGCCTTTCAAATTCAATCCCACTTCACCCATTTCATCCTGTCTTTCCAGCTCGACGGATAAAGCAAAAGAAAAGAAACAAAGTCATGACCGCCAGCCTAGTCCGCGGCGCCCGCATCAATCGCGACCTCCTCAACAGCCAGCTCAAATCCCACCATATTCCCTGGCTCTTAGGCTCCCACGTTGACCGACACGAAAACGCGCAGGTTAGCCTCCTCTTCCACGCCCTCGGCCTCGACCCCAGCGCCCGCGTCTGTGCTATGTTCCCCAACTGCTCTTTGGAACGATCGATCGACGCGGCCGATTATCTCATCATCGGCTACGAGTGGAACTACGTCTTGCACGCCAAGGAGGTAGAGGAGGCGCTGCCGAAGAAGCAGATGCCCAAGGGATTCGAGGCGGCAGTGCAGCAGATCGACCCGGAGGCTAGGTATGGCGTGTGGTGTGTTACTGGGGTGTACCTTAGTAATCTTACTGCTAAACGCGGGTACCTCTTAACACTAAACTTTATAAGAAAGAATACTTATATAAGGGTCTATTTAGGCTTATAAGGGATAATGCTAAAGCTTAATAGTAATTCCTCTTTATTTTAGACTAAAGCTCTTTTTTAATCTTTATCTCTTGTGACCCCGATTAACCCCTGTCGTAAGTATCCTTCCTTGTAGAGCTTGGCATTAAGAGATACCCGCGTTTAGCAGTGAGGTTATTTCTGCAGCCTTGGCATTAGGAACATCAAAATTCGTTAAGACCTGGCTACAGCCTTGGCGTTAAGAACACTAAAAGTAAATTATAAAAGGAATTCTTTAATTAGCTGCATTAGGCTAATTAATAGGGCTAGAAATCTATAAATAGTATTATTTAATAGCTTTTAAGATTCTTTACTTAAATAAATTATTTATGTTTTAATAGTCCTAATATTAAAAGCAAAATAAAAAAAATAATAAAAAAGTACTAGTTTAAGAGATTAAGTTTAAGAATAATTATTAAACTATTAAAGATATGACTTCACAAATAATATATTAAATAGAGTTTAGAATAAGCTTTTAAAATTAGTTTATTTAGAATT